TAAGTTAGATAATAAATTGACGAAACTTTTCTAATAATTCTTTAGTTTATATAAAAAATTTTGAGAAACTCATACGTTTCTGCCAAATCAGTTTATTTCTTTTTATAAATGAAGACATCCATTTATCAGATATTTTAAAACTCTCTGCTGCTATTGCTGTTGTTGTTGGTATTATTGCTGCTACCACTATTATTGCTGTTACTATCACTACTGATGCTATATTATTTTTTTTTTAAAATATCTAGCATTTTAACTTTTACAATTGCATAAGTTACTGCTAGATCTTGCTTACTTTGTCTAATAATCTAGTCATACAACTTTTGTTCAGCTTCAGAATAGAAAAGTTTTCAATCTAAACTAACTTGCTTGCTATTTTGATTTACTTCAGTCTAACCTGAACTTACCTTTACTTATCTTCCAACTATACTAGCATCAAGTTCAAAATGATTTGCTGCTTTATTTCTTCCTATTTATTTCGCATATTCAACAATTTCTTTTTTATTTAATGGAATAAATATTACAGTTATGCTTAACAACTTTTGGTATTTGTAAAAAATCAAACAGGTTTAAAACAAGTTTGAGTTCATGTATAGTACATATAGTACAATCTACTAATATCATTCTGTTTACAAGATCATCATATAAAATCAAATTGAACAATCGTTTCAATCACTGATAAAGTTTATTTAACCTAAAAATGCAGCTCTAAAGAGAGAAAAAATTTTATTTTAAAAAATCTCCCAAAAATAAGCACCCCTATAATAAAAAAAGGATGCTTGTTTTTGAAAGTATATGATATTTATTTATAACACTAAATCTTAAAGTTAATACAATTTGCATCTGTATGTATGAAAATTTTGTGAAAAAAAATTAGAGTTGATGTACAACAAAGAATTCAAATTTAATATAACACTTTTTTTATTATCTTATATAAATAAAAGGATCTTATTTTTTAACATAATATTACTTTTGAAAATTCAATTTGAAGTTGAATTCAGGTTTAGTAATTATTAACAGTTCAAATTCAAATATGCTTCAAACTGACCTGAATGATCTGACCTTACTGAGCACTAGTTTCAGATATAGTACTATAACATTCAAGAAATTTTCTTTTATATACCTATATAGTCACCTCCTATATATCACTTCTCTCCTATAAGTACATTTGTTAGGCTAAAATCCTCTTCTATAGTCACATAACTTTTTTTATAAGCATATCCAATTTTTTTTTGATCTTGAACTATGATTATATAGGAGGTAGACTGTATTTATAAAATAAGGCTATATGTTTTTAACAATAAGCTTAGAATTGAAGATATTTAATTCAAACTCTAAGAAATCTAACACATTTTATGCTTTATATTAATAATTGTGATATAATTTAATAATTTTATTTTTTTTTATTGTTTTTTTTTTTAAAAAAAATCTGAGATAAATTTATTAATATTTTAACAAATAATAATTTTAATTTTGTAAAAAAGCTAATGTAATTTAATATTGATTAAATCTTCAGTATATTTCCACAATTTTTCAGCTAGTTCCTTATCTTGAGCTGCCACAAACCTGTTTCCAATCATACCAAATAGTTCAAAATATTGATCATAATAATAATCTCAGGGCTTGCAGTAGCATATAATAGTATTAATGCTCCATCTTCAGATAATATCGCAAATAAATTATAAGCAACTTTGCTTGATATTTTTGCAATGAATTCATAAGTACTAACTAGTTCTCTTGATACTTTAGTTTTAACAAATCCTAAAAGAAAAAAATTTTTTTATTTTACATAAATCTTTTATAATAGAACAGAAATTTCTTTTTGCTTTTTTTTTGAAATATTATACCTGAATGAACTGAATTAACGTAAACTTCTTTATTTTCAAGTCATTTTGATAATGATTTTGTAAAAAGGATCATAACAAGTTTTGATACACAATAACGTAACTCAGATGTTTAAGAACCTTCTTGATTAATCTTATCAAAATCAATTCCTACATCTGGTATAATTTTGTAAAATAAACTATTTTATACAAAAATTTGGTTAAATAAATATAAATTATTTATAACTAAGGATTTACTTAAATTTTAGTATTTAAACTTTTATAAGCTAACCTGCTGATGTTAACGATTCGAAAAGGTGCAGAAGCTTCAATTTTAACTAAAAGTATTATTGTGAAAAGCTAAGTAAAAAGAAATATATAATTAAATTTTTGAATAAATTTAAAAGTAAATTAAATATAATATTTATGAAATATCTAACATAATTTACTCCAAATTAATCTTGGATCTCTTCATCAGTTAATAATCAAGGGTTAAATTAGTTTTTATTAGAATAAAAACTTATAATCAAAGCATATAAATCACATTGTGATTTATGTTGCAAAAATTTTAGTGTTATTGATACTAAAAAAATATTTAAATGATAAATATAATTTAAATTTAATCAAAAAAAAAATATATATATATATTTACGGCAAAAAGAACTTACAGAATATGTAAAGGTAAATTTTTCAAAGAGAAATTTTTAGCAGATTGCTTCACAATTTTCAGGTTATTTAATTCTAAATATAAAAATTCTACCTGATTATTTTCAGTTTCTTTTTTAATTTTTTCTACAACACTTTCACAACATTCTTTATTGTGACTTGCAACAAATACATGTGCATTTTTACAAGCTAATTCTCTCACTGTAATGTATCTGATTCCTGTATTACGTTCAGTAACAATGGCAACTTTTTTGATTAAATTAGGAATGTTTTCGATTGTAAAATTTATTTCAAAAAAAAAATTTTTTATCAAAAAAAGGAAATTCCATTTTTATAAGATACGAATAATTAATTTTAGTCTGTGATTGATTTTCAGAATAATTACATCATTTAAATATCTGAAGGTAAAAATTACGAAATTTTATCAATACATAAAATATTTTTTTTCCAGACTTTTACTAGATTTTAGACTTATTAGAGAAAATTAGTATTTCACACGAATTTAAATCAATTTGAATCCAATCTAAATCTGACAGATTGAATTCAGATCAGATCTATCAGATTCAGATCTAATTTAGATTTAGATTCAGATCTGATCTGATCTGTTAGATTTAGATTCAGATTCAGATCTGATCTGTCAGATTCAGATTGGATTCAGATCTGATCTGTCAGATCTGAATTTAACTTTTTTAAAGCTAAAAAGTTTCTTTTTAATGAAAAGGGACGAATTTTCAGACTTCTTTAGAGCCAAAAATTTGTTTTTTTTCATTGAAAAGAAATGAATTTTCAGATTTCTTTTAGAACTGAAAAATTCCTTTCATTGAAGAGAAACGAATTTTCAAAACTCTTTTAGAGCTGAAAAGTTCCTTTCATTGAAAAAAAATGAATTTTCAGAACTTTTTTAGAGCTGAAAAGTTCTTTTTATTAAAAAGAAATGACTTTTCAGAACTCTTTAGAGTCAAAAAAGTTCCTTTCAATGAAAAGGAATGACTTTTCAGGACTCTTTTAGAGCTGAAAAGGTTCATTTCAATAAAAAGAAATGACTTTTCAGAACTCTTTTAGAGCTGAAAGATTCCTTTCAATAAAAAGGAATGACTTTTCAGGACTTTTTTAGAGCTGAAAAGATTCCTTTTAATGAAAAGAAATGATTTTTCAGAACTCTTATAAAGCTGAAAAGGTTCTTTTTAATGAAAAGGAATAACTTTTCAGAACTCTTTTAGAGCTAAATAGATTCCTTTTAATGAAAAAAAATGACTTTTCAGAATTTTTTTAGAGCTGAAAAGGTTCCTTTTAATGAAAAGGAACGACTTTTCAGAACTCTTTTAGAATTGAAAAGGTTCCTTTCATTGAAAAAAATCATTTTCAGATCTCTTTTAGAACTGAAAATTCATTTTTTTAATAATACTTTCAGATTCAGATCAGATCAGATTTGGATTTAAACTGATCTGTTAGATTTGGATTTGAGATTTGATCCATCAGATTCAGATCAGATCTGGATTTCAACAGATCTGTCAGATTCAGATCAGATTTAGATCCTAAAAAATGAAAATCAGATCAGATCAGATTTGGATAAAATCTGATCTGATCTGATTTTTGCGAAATACTATAGAAAATATATATTATAAATGATGCAATTATTTACGTTCTTATCATAATTAAAATTAGTTTAGTTAGAAATCTATTAAAATTGAATCTAATTATTAATGGTGTAGTTTATATGGCTAAATAACTTTACATAAATTTATGAACTTTTTTAATGTATATTTACTGTGATAATATTAATATTGACCTTTTTAGAAATAAATGTTATGATCGCTGAATTATGCGATTTCATTAAAAGACTGAAACAAATTTTGATATGTATATAATTTTTAAAAAAATATCACAATTTTACGAAACACATTCAACAAGATCTTTTATTATTTCAAAACAGAAGATTTAAATGATCTCATTACTAAAGGTAACCATTCTTTAGAAATGAAGTTTAGACAAGCTCATTGTATTGGAGTGTTGTTCAAGTTATTTAATCTACTATTCCTGGATAAAGATTTTTATACTGAGTCATACTCAACAACCTAAATAAGTATCATACTTGTCAACCTAACTCATTTTAATCAACTTTGTAAAAAGAATACAAAAGATTGATTTTTCTATATATAAATACAATTATTTGTTAAATGTGTACTATGATATTTGTAAAATCAAATTTATTCTTTTTACACAAAATAGAGTTATAATCTTGTAAATATAACAAATTACAAAGAAATACTTACCTAAATATATATATATATTTATTTAATAAATTGAAGCATTCTAATTTGAAATAAAATTAAAATTAATTACTATAACCTAACACGAAAGAAATTTGATGCTAAAAGAGAAAATAAATTAGTTAACAAAAATAATAAATAAATTAACTGCAACAAGTTAGTCATGAATCCTAAAGTAACCTAAATAATAATAATAATTAATTAATTATCAAAAAACAAAATAAGATAGAATCAAACTCATCACTTAATGCTTTAGCTTCAGCTTTTCAAATATTTGTATAATTGTATTTTGCACTGACTGATCATTCTGAAGAACTGCGGTTACCCCTTCAACTCTTTTAAGAGTTATTGATTCATGATCAGTCGACAAGAATATATGTATCACACGTTCATTTGCTCTTATTTAACGTGAATGTATTGTGTGCTCATAAGAAGAAATTGTATTTATTAATTGCATGCTTAGGCCAAACCTTAGACATATGCTCACTTCAAATGAACGTTTGATGTATTTAATTTTCATAGGATAAAAATGAATATAATTTTTATGAAGCTTAATATTTGTTGAATTTGTTTTTCATTTTTAAGAACTTATATATAATAATTCCTTTCAGTTTACCTTTTGAAGTAGGGTAGTCCTACTAATTTATTATTTAAAGAAATAAATTTAGATTTTTCATATAATTGTCTTTAGAATATATTACTTTCTTAATGTTTAATATTGTATAAATTTCTATTATTTATAGTAAATAAAATCATTTTATATACTAAATAAACTAAAAATGACTCTAAAATATTTTAAATCAGTATAATTATTCTATATTACAGAAAAAAATAATATATATTATTAAATAATAATAAAGCATTTAATAAGTTATAAGTTGAAGTTTTATTTCAGTTTATAAGAAAAACTTATAGCGAAGTATTTATTTTCAGTCTATGCAGGCCTCTAATTTAGCTTTTTATTATATGAATATACTTTTTAAACATTTAATTTAAATCCATAATATTTCGAATTGTTTTAAAATTTTCTTTATTTGAAATTTCTTCATATTCGTATTATTCTACTTATAGATAAGGAACGAAACCCCTTAATAATAGTCGAAACTTAGATGAAACTATATTAAAATTATAATAAGGAATACGAAGAAACCCATTCGATACGACGAAAGCTGAAACTATCAAAAATATATTAAAAACATAGAAAAGGGTATGACGAAATTATTTTGAGGAGGTTTCAGCAGGCATCTATAATTCTACCATGTTAATCCATTCTTTAAATATTTCCATTCAAGATTTGATACAATTTTATGCTCTGAATCTTCAGGATCATATCATCAAATATCTTTTATAGCAACTTCTTTTTGAAATTGATACGTTTATGTTTGAAATTTTTTATTTATTTCTAATTAATTTTGTTTAAATTCTCCTTTTATTTGACTCTTTGTGAGAACATTTTTGACTATAAAAAAAATATATATACATTTGAATTAAAGTCCTATTGAAGCTGTATTAATGCAAATTGCATAAATTTAGGTTGAGGCAAAATTCAAATTTCTATTTTGCAAAAGTCAAAACCTTTGGGTTTTGATGGATTTGATAGGTTTCAATTTTGATATTTGTCAAAACATCTGGGTTTTGCCTGATAACCATAGTAGAAAAAGAATGTAAATCTGATGTATAAACAAATACAAAATACCAAATAAAAGATTTGTGATTTATTTTTTAAATTAGTTTTGGTAGAAATGTTGCACTTGAAAGATTTAAATCACTTTTGGAAAATAATTTTCTAGCAAATTCCTAATTACTTGTTAGGGTTAAGTTTTACATGATATACATGTTTGTTTCATCTTTTTTGGGATTGTGCATTGAATCATCAACAGAATTACCTTAGAAGTAATTTATCTTTAATGGTTAAAGAATTAAAAAGAGACCTATATTAGATTGCTAACAGGTTTAAATAGAGTTGCAGGCAGTGTTGGTCACCTTTATAAGTCCAGTTATTTTTGACTAGACTAGGACCATAAGTCCAGTTACTGGAAATTATAAGTCTAATAGTCCAGTTTTATAAGTCCAGTTAGTCCAATTTGGTCCAGTTGGCCAACACTGGTTGCAGATAATAAGCTTTGTACCATCAGAAGTGTATTTCCTAACAAGTAAGATATATTATAATAAAATTATTAAATTTTTAGCCTTCGACTCAGCTATTCTAGTCTCCAGTTTTATTTATAATAATATCTTATATATTTAATGAATAATTTGGTCAAGTTTATTAATATCAAGTTAATTACGTTAATATTTGATATGTGAGAATGAGAATTGATTTATTGAAAGAAATGTCTTTAAGACAAGGAATGACTTGGTCTTTAATTAAAATAATACTTTTAATACCTCTGAATAACTTTATTCATATTTATTTGACATCAGGAAAACCCTTTTTCTTAAAAAAGTCCTAAACTTATTTTTGTAAAGTTATAAGTTTATTGTCAATATTTGTAGTAATAGGATACTTGGTGAGTAGGTAAGTCTTAACGAAAAAACCTTGCAATGAGTTCAAGTAAGTAAACAAATTTTTTTGATATTTTTTTTTTCTAAAATATAACTGAATATATATTTATGTGCATGTTAATATTTTATAACATTATTGTTGCTGAGGAGCTTATCATATTATTAAATAACCATTTATATCATAAAAGACAGAGAATTGTAATAGATTTCATTGAATAAGAAATTGTATCAAAAATTTACATTGACAAGTGTTGCTTTAATATCAATCAAAAGGGTATTACAGCTTATATTGAAAGTGACACAGTAGTATAAAATTACTCATACTATAAATGTAAAATCTATATATAAAAAAAAGCTATTATTTAGTCTATTTAATTAATATACTCATATATTAATCATAATGACATGAATATTCTACAGTAATAATTAAATGCTTTATAATATACTGTAATAAATCAAAATATAAGGTGTGTAACTATTGCAATTTGCTAAATTGATACTTGTCAAAAAATTATATTCTAGACGTTACAAAACTAGTTATATACATTTATCTTGTTTGACATGTTTTTTATCCACAGGTTGAAAGAAGCAAATTTCTTTTGTAAAATAATAGCAAAATTTTCCATTTTTATATCAGAGCAAGTTTGTATTGTTGCAACTTTAATTTCAAAATTTACAGTCTTTTTATAATATATTTTCTTTAGTAAATCTAATAATTAAATATTTTATAATCTTTTTTGATACCTTTTTAATTTTATAATATTATTTTTAAATCTTGTCATCTATTTATATAATGATAAATACAATATAATTGTCTTGTTGCAAGATTTTCACAAGGTAAAATTTTAAATCATAAATCAATAATAGTTTATTGTACTGTAAAATCGTATCTTATTATATAATAGCATTCTGCTATATTTACTTTCATCAGAATCATTCATTTAAATTTATTGTCCAATTTGATACTGTAACTCATCACGCTTAAAAAAAATGGTTGAAAATCATTCTTTATAGGATTATGTCACATTGTGCTACTTTATAAATTTTTATATCTACTTTTGCGAAATCATAAAATCGTCTTCTAATGAAATAATAATTTCACTAATTAGTTGAATGATAAAATACAAAATTAGCGATAACTTTGTAATGTGAATATATGCGTTGCATTTATGAAATAATTTATATTTTCTCTTTTTTTTAAATATATCTTGTCACATCAGCAGTATAAATACAAACAAGTTAAATTTTAATAAATTTATACTATACATATAAAATAATTATGCTCATTAAAACTTTTATAAAAATCTTTGTGTTTTAAAAATTATCATCTGAGAGATAAATGATATATAAAGATACTTAGATCCTTTGAATCAAACTAAATTAAAAAAGTATAAGGTATAAATATAATTGATTATATTTTTTTTAAGAAATAAGTTTTGAGAACATGTGATGTAAAATTATTTTGATTCAAGCGTGATTCATATATAGTCACTTCTACTATTAAACTACTAAAAAACTCTTGTTTATAGTAACATGAATACTCTATGACTTGCATTCAACATCACATTTACACAGCAATCATTTATTATTACATCTTATATGAAAGAAAGATTTTTTAAAATAATTATAAGACTTTATAGATTTAAGAAAAAAATGATAGCTTGTTATTTATTGATAATTTTATTATAATAATTATATACATCATCAATCAATTTATAATTGCAAATTTTTTTTTAAAGTAAATTAATTACAATTTTAAAAAAAATAAGAATATCCAATTATTATATATAATAGATCGTAAATATAATAAAAAATCTGAAAAGAAAAATAAATAATGTGAGCAGAATTTGATTTATAATAATGCTAATAGTTTGATTATAGGTAATTAACTTGTTTAATTAATATACAGATCTGATATAATATATAATTCATTGATTTATAGTTATTAGTTTAAAACTAATATGATATGATATTATAATTTACTATATGTTATAGCTCGTTGAAGCTGTCACATTGAAAAAACCTTTTCAAATTTATTATAACATGAGTGCCTGTAAAAGGAGAAAAATAAATTTAATATTAAAATTGTCAACATAATAATACTTGAATAATAAATCTTTACATGATGGTTTAGATCATATGATGTCTCATATCTATTATCTATTTTTTATTTAATTATTGGCTTAATGATAACCGCTCTAATCACAAAAAAAATGTTAATAATAATATTATAAACAATTTTATTAAACATTATTATATTTTTTGATATTTAAGTAGATAAATAAATCTAAATTGGTCAAATATAAAAATATATAAAAAAGCGAAGCATACTGTATAGTTTGTATCTTTTTATTATTATTCTCTGTGAAGTCAGTTATTGTAAAAGTAAGATTAATAATGTGTTATAAACTATTTATATGATCTATTTCTCACAATTGATTGATTCAGAATTTATTATATTTGATAATAATTGATTTCCCTTTTAGTTTAATAAAATAGAAAATCATAATTTTTCTAATCATATTTAGTATTACAAATACTAATTATACTGTGAATTAACTAATTTTAAAATATTATCATAAGTTAAAATACCTGTTAAATTGATCTAGTAAATATTAGTATAGATATTTTAACAAATAAGTTTATATTTCGTAGATGATATATAAATTGAATTGAATTTAAATTTAGATTAATCTGCTAATTGTTATACTTTTAAACTTGTGCAGATCTTTACCATTTTGAGTGTATTTTAGTTTCTATATAACTGGTGATTTTTTACCTTATTTTCACTCAAGTTGAATTTTATTTGTTTACATAGTATCTCAAAAACAAATTCATAAAGTAAGTAATTCGTAATAGTTGCATCATAAATACAAAATTAAAAAAACTACAGTATCATATTATTAAGAAAATTAGATTAACTTTATATAAAAACATTAAATAATTTTTAGAATTGAATCTTTTTGTTCATATAAGGAAATTACATAATAATAATAATATTGATAATTATTAATT